GGCTAGGAAACGGCAGAGCTGGGGCGGGAGCCTGGGTCTGTGCGGCGTGGAGGCCGGTCTTTCCACTGCCCCACGTGGCGTTCAACCTGGGAGGGCGCCTGAGCCTGGGGATCACGTGGGCCCCCGCAAAGGAGGCTGGTGCAGCCCACCCAGGCCAAGGCCTGCCGGGTTACAGGGTGCAGTCTGGTGTGCTCAGCGGCCGGTGGGCGCTCATACCTCTCAATGCCTCAAGACAAGTGCCCAATCCCCATTTCACAGATGAAAGAAAACGAGACCCAAGGTCATGGAGCAAGGAAGTGGCTGAGCTGGGCAGGTGGGCCAGGGACCTCCAGGAGCACCAGCTCCCCACTGCTGGCCTGGCGGGGGGACCCTTGGCTTCAGGGTGAGCCCATCAACCAGGGGTCCTATGGAGCCCGGTGCAGGCAGGCTGGCCACGCCAAGGAGCCCTGTAGGACCTGCGCAGGCCCTGGCCTGCCCTGGACCTCGGCATCCTCACCTGCGATGGGAGCGCCCCACAGGGTCGAGGGAGGGCAGTGCTGCGGGGGCGGGGGGGTGCTGCCTGCTCCCGAGCTCTGGCGCCAGGGGTGCACCCAGCCTGGGGAGCCGGCTCTCCCCACGTTCAAGTGAGGTGCAGACCCCGTTGGATAGGAAGCCTTTGCAGAAGACAGGAGCCAACATGGGATGTTGTTATCAGATGGTTCCCCACCTGGCAGGTGAGGGCCCTGGGCTGGGAGTTGCCAGAAGCAGCAGGAAGCAGCTCCCGAACCTGCTGTGTGCCCCTGGGACAGCTGACCGGGCCGCCTTGGGGCCTCCTGAGGTGCTGAAGCCGCCCTGGTGGGGCCCAGCTCAGGGTCAGTGAAAGCCTTCCCTGCTGGTGCCAGGGTCCACGGTAGCCTTGGTTCCCGCCACCGTCCCCTCGCCAGCCCTGGTGCGCTGCCCCTCCACGCCCCTCATGGGAGCCTGATGGGGACGAGGAGACCGATGGAAACGCTTTCGCTGTCCTGAGTCAAGCTGGGGAGAGGCAGCGAGGCCCCGATGACCCTGGCAGGGCCTGGCTCAGAAAGAGCAGCTAAGACGCTGCTTCCCGGGGAGAGGGCTCGGGCCCAGCTCCTTCAGCTCTCGGCCCTGCGGCCTGAGGCGCTGCTTGCCTTCTGCGCCCACGAGGCCTCAGATCCCTCATCTGCACACCCACTCGGTGGAGTTGCTGGGAGGATTACAATGTAGGTCAAGTGCCCATTCCACCTGGCATACAGCTGGTATTTAATAAATGCCTCAGGACAGTGCTTTTATTCTCCTGCAGCTGAGCCACCAGCCAGGACTTCAGTGTTGGCGGTGAAAGAACGGGTGTGGGCTTAATCAGGCCTCAAGAAACCTGGTGCCTGTCCCTTCCTGCTGGGTGGCCCTGTCTCTGGGTCCCTGTTCCCAGGCCCTGGCCTGCCTGGCGTGAAGTCAGGTTCTAGCCTAGCCGGGGCCATGCGCTCCCTTCTCAGTTTCCTCATCGCTGCGGGCCTTGCGCGGCCCCCGGGGCCTCCCCGCAGGCTGCCAAGGGGTCCCACCAGGGGCCTGGGGCCGTGGTGTGTGGGGGTAGGTGGTGTGGGGGGGGGGCTCCCCTACCCTCGCCCCTCCCGGCCAGTCCAGCCTCTCCCCGGCCCGCAGGGGCTGTAGCCGAGTGAGGCTGGGGCTCATCCCTTCTGGGCGTGACGCTACAGGCCCGGCCTCTGGAATGCAGCTGAAACCCCATAGCAGGGTTTTTCCCAGATAAACTCCTGGCTCCAGGGGCAGGGGGCTGGGCGGGCGGGCAGATAACCGTCCACCTTGGAAAGCTGGAGCCCCCTGGGGCTGGGCGCTGTCTCGGAGCACAAGCCACCTGCTCCGAGCCACACAGCCAGTGGCGTCCTCGGACACCCAGGGCCGCCCACCTGCGCCCGCCAGCCCCGCATGCCCCAGAGGGGTCTAGAATCACAGGGCCGCAAGGTGTCGCAGTTGCCAATGCCTGCACCCGCCTTACAGACGGGAGGGCTGGGGCTCAGAGAGGAGCTGCGTGTGCGCCTGGTGGCTCAGTGGGGCAGGGGAGGCAGGGCGGGGGCCTGACCCCGGCACTCTCGGCTTCCTATACGGTGACCTATGAGTTCCACTCTCGTCTTTGGGGAGCAGGGGGACCTGGTGGCAGCCCTCACAGGAACAGCCTCCCAGGTCGCTGCCCCAGGGCCTGCCTGCCGGGGGGCGACAGGCTGGGCTGAGGAGGTGGTGGGCTGGGCTGCCCTGACTCGGTGGCAGCGGCACCAGCCCGGGCGCTGGTGGCAAGGGGCCTGGTGTTCCAGCCGGTGACTGGCCGGCAGGGTCCGCGTTCTAGGCCTGCACTGGTACCAGGGCTAGAGAGGAGGAATCGGGGGCAAGGGAGAAGTGACTCATGGGAAGACAGACGGCAGGAAGAGCTCCCGGGCAGGCGGCCAGGCCGAGGGCTCGTCAGCATTCGCCAGCGCCAGTCAGTGTCCCGGCCCAGCCCTGCGGAGCCCGGGAGCAGCCGGACCAGGAGCCAGGGAGGTGGGGGGACGGCGAAGGCTGCAGGAGCTGCCCTCCCTGCCCTGTCCTGGGGGCTAAGGACAGCCTACCTGGTCCCCACCCTGCCCCCGAGAAGCAGCAAGGTGGCCTCAGAGAGCCTCAGTTTCTACACCTGAGAAATAGGGAGCTGGCACTGTCTGAGATTTTCAGGGGCGTCGCACTCGATAAGCAGTAGCTGTTGTCACTGCAGACGGCCTCAGCACACGGCCACGTGGGCCCCGGGGGCCGGGAGGTGTGGCAGGGAAGCCGGCAGGCAGGGAAGCGGGGCCGGTGTGCCGCAGCGCGGCGGGGTGAGAGCAAACCCCACCCTCTCGGTGCCTCAGTGTCCCCGTCGGGAGGATGCGGCACTGGGCCTCCTGCTTCCAAGACCCCACTCCTGGGGCCTTCGAGGCTCCCTGCTGTCTGGAAGGGCATCAGCCTCAGCAGGGAGCCCCCATTCTGAGAGGGATGACAGGAGGGGCGATGCCGCACCGCCTGTGGCACCACACAGATCGGGGCTCAAATCCAAGGTGGGCTTCTGCCTTAGACAGGTGACACCCGTCACCCCGTGAGGCTTTTACGGGGAGCAAATAAAGTCCCAGAAGGCCCGTGGGGTGGCCGGGTCTCAGCCCAGGCCTCAGAGAACGGGGAGGCCGCCGCGAGGGCCGGCCGAGCCCCAGGCGCCCCGTCTGGCCCCATCACTGGCCCAGGCCGTCTGTCGTTCTGTCTGGGGGAGATTAGACCCTGGCTGGGCCCACGCCACCCTGGGACCTGACACCAGCCTTCTTTCTAGTCCTGGTGGGGAGGAGGGGAAAGAGGAGGGGGAGCCCTGGCACAGCAGGTCAAGCTTCCTTGGCCTCAGTTTCCCCAATTTTAAAACGGCAGTTGAGGCTAGATAATGGATCCCATAGGCCCTCCCAGGGGACTGGGTTCCATGACCTCAGGTTCAGGCCCAACATCAGCAGCGCCTTCCTGACCCACGGCTGGCGCGGGCGGGTTGCTCAGCCTGGAAGCTGTAAGGGCCCCTTTCTCCCCCCCGCTTCTCCTCCTCTTCCTCCAGCTCTTCCTCACTCCCATCACCTGACTCTATCTTCACAACAGCCAAAGACACAGCTTTTCTCTTCACTGCCTCCATCCTACAGACCAGAAACGCAAAGCGCCAAAGCCGCCGGGGGCAGGCTGAGCACCAGGCTCCCCGACACGGGCCATCGGACTCGGCTGGCCCCCTCGGAGACGGAGCGTGAGCTGCAGCCACCGCCTCAGCCCCTGGCCTGCTTCTGGTTTCTTTCCCCCAAGAGCCTCCCCAAGCCCTGTCTGTCAGCCAGGACCGTCCCCAAAACCAGTGTTCAGGTCTTGCTGAAATTTGCCATGCCCGTCTGGGCCCAAAACAGAGAAGGGTCCAGGTTCCACTAGAAACACCTCGCCCACAACCCAAGGCCAGGGCAGACATTGCTAATCGCTCACTGCTCTCTCCTGAGCCCAGACCTGCCTCAGAATCCTCTTGGCACAGCTAGCTAGGCAGGCTTTATCAGATATGTCAGGGTGCACTTTAACACCATGACAAAGGCACTGCCCACTCGGCAGGAAAAGTGTCTGCTCAAGGTCATGGCTGTCCAGCAATGGCCTGGCTGTCTCTGCAGGTAGTGAGCTCCTCTTCTCAGAATATGTGTCAATGTGTCAACTGAGTATGGCTATCCCCACCCGGGGCACTGCACAGCTCGGCAGGGGTTGGGAAGGGGAGGTCCAGACGATGCTTGAGGTCCCTTCCAGCAGTGACATTCAGCCCAGGTGGACAGCCCTCAGCTGAGCTCACTCTGCTCCCGCCCCTGAAGACCAGGCCACCCCCACCCCATATCCCCAGCTGAAAGGCTCTGCCACGGCAAAGCCCATGAAGGGGCTCAGACTGGGTGAGCAACGGGCTCCCCGCTGCCGGCACACCCAGGGAACAGGCACATTTGGACGCGGGCCTGCAGGCCAGCCTCGGATGGGTTCAGGCGATGGCTCAGTCTCCGTGACTACACCCCCACCCAAAAACGCAATTGGAGAGCTCGTGGTGTGTATCAGAGCCTCGCTTCTCAGGGGTGAATCAGAGCCATCCCTGGGGCAGTGAGAGTTAAGGCACATAATGCCTTTCCACCCCACCCCACTGAGGCACCTTCTTCTGGGAAACCTGCTCGCCAGGCCTCTGGGAATCAGAAAGACCCCCCACCCCCGCGCCAAAGCGCAAAGGCCCTCTGCGATGCCGGGAGGGCCCAGAACCCTCCCGTGGAGGGTTCCAAAGAATGCGGAACCTCCACGGGAGCAGGAAGGCAGGCAGCCAGGAGACCTACAGGGGACTATGGTGAGCTCTCCACGTTGGACCCTGCGGGACTGTTCCCCGGGGTGGGAGACGCTGGGGGCGGGCCAGGCCCGCGGGGCCGGCCTCCTCTGCGGGGACCCCCCGCCAGTGGCTCGCTCACCTTCTGGGCCTGGCTGATCATCTTGCGCACCACCTCTTTGATGTGGGCTTGCCCGTCGAGGGGGGGCTGCATGTAGACACTGGCCCGGGTCACGCCGCGGTAGGCGATGGTGTCGGGCCAACCCAGGTCCAGCTGCGGGATGGAGCGGTCTGACTTCTGGGGCCAGTACTCCAGCGAGGGCGGGGGCTCTGCCTCCGCTGGGACTCTTTCTGCCCCACTGGCCTCCTCACCATCCCCGACGCCGTTGTCCTCAGGCCCCTGGGCGCAGCCTGAGCCCCGAGGGTCCTGAGAGCCCGGATCGTACACCTCAATAGTCTCCAGGATGCGCTTGAGCTCCAGCTCTGAGAGGAAGTCGCGGATGTTCTCCCGGTTCAGCACCTCATAGAAGGCCTCACGGCCGTGGGCCACCAGGGCCTCCAGCGCCAGGCGCTGCTCCTCACTGTAAAAGAACTCGGGCTTGGACTCGCTGGAGCGCCAGTTGACGTGGCTGTTGTCCAGACACTGCACCTGGGAGAAGGCCATGGTGCCACCTGCCCAGCGCCTCTGCCGGGGCGGACGGGAGACAGACGCTCAGCGAGGTCCGGACCCTGATTCCGGTGGGGCCGCGACACAGTGCGCTCGGGCCTTGGGGCCGCCTCTGCTCCTGTGCCAGTGAGGAGCCTACAGGAGAGACAGGACAGGGCTAGGTCAGGCGGAGCACAGGCCCGGCGGGGCACCCCGCCAGGGATGAGAGCGATGGGGGGGCCCTCCCCAGGCCCGGGTCCGGTGTCTGTAGGGGACAGGGCACTCACATCCCAGACTTCGGGGACTGCCTGAAGTTCTAGGCTACCTCTGGGGAAACCAGGGCTAGCAGAGAACTTCCCATAAGTTTCCAGTAGTGGGAGGCAGGGGACTGAAATCAGGCGGACACCGGCCCTGCCGGTTCAGGGCCGCCTGCCTTTCCAGGGCTTCCAGTAAAGGTGAAGGTCCTAAAAGTCCTTGGGCGCCAGGACGGGCAATCCAGGGGGCCTGCCCGGAGGTGGCTGGGGGTGGGGGAGCCGGCGGCGCGGGGAACGCCGGCATCCAGGGGTGCGGGCCAGGGCGCGCTTACCGGGCGGTTGCGGGCGCGACGCAGGGCCGGCGAGGAAGCCGTGAGGGAGGAGCGGTGCGCACAGGCTGCGGCAGGCAGGTGACTAAATGTCACCCCGCCCACCCGCCGCCACCTGAGGTCACGTGCGGCCCCGGGGCGGGGCCGGAAACTGATTCACGCCATCCGCGGACCCAGACCCGCCTCCGCCGCCGCGCTGCGCCCAGTCCGGGTGGCCGACCGGTGAAAAGCTTGGGGACCAAAGTCCAAGTGTTCCCGGAACTCTGCGCCCAGAGAGGGATAGCGCTCCTCCTGGGGTCACTCAGCACATGAATAGCCTTAGCACTCCCCCGCCCCGGGCCTGTGGGAATCCTGGTCCCCCCTTGCCTGTGACGCCTCCCAGGTGGGATGAGGAGTCCCCAGAGATGGCCAGCTGTCCGATTGCGGAAGTGGAGTTGAGGTACTAGGCCGAGAGTCTCCAAGGCAGGGGTAGAGCACCGTCTGACCCAACCTTCAGAGCCTTCTCAGAGCTTAGTGTGGACAGAGCGGGTGCCCAGTTGTCGTGAGGAACCCTGCTACCTGCTGTGCTGGCAGGGGTCTCCTGCCCCAGGACTGGCCCTGCTTGATGAGCAGCGCCTGGCCTGAGGAGGGGAGAGCCAGTGAGGGTGCTGTGGGCTGGACCAGGCCCCACTCGCTGCCCAGCGTCCCTGGGGCTTGGGACCCGGTTATGGGAGGTGTGGGGACCACATCTGAAAGCAGGCTGCCAGGGGAGGGACAACAAAGCCCATTAAACCTGGCCACACAGCCAGACCCCACTGCGTGCCACAGCCAGTCAGCCAGGCACCTGGCCCAGCCCTTCCCTCCGTCCGCACCCCCTGCCCCTTGCCCTGGACGCCGCCGCTCTGTGCTCCGTGCTGCTGAGGATGGAACCCCGGCTCCCTCAGGGCCCTCGCTGCCAGGACTGCACGCTCCCGGCCCCGGGACCCCTGGGAGCCCCAGCACTGCACCCTGGCCCCGGGAGGCATCACAATGTGTCTGAACAGGTGGCCCCAGACACCAGGCCCTCGGCCTCCCTGAGCACAGTCCCACAGGTGCCCCGAGCCGCCCCCCCCCCGCCAGGGCGTGTGTGGCATCCCCTCAGCGGGGGTCGCTGTGGGCAGCACCGCGCTGGGCGCTCTGAAGCTCGGTCCACGGCCCCAGAACGGGCTCCCTCGGGGCCCCTGCCTGTCCTCTGTTCTTACACAGCATAAGGGCTTCTTGCTCAGGGGGGCGCTCTGGCCCTCAGGGGTGAAAGGCCTCCAGGCCTCCCAATTCTGCAGTTACCTGCCCAGAATCAGAGATTCACAGGAAGCTGTCACAAACAAAGCAAAACAAAACAAAACAAAACAAAACAAAAAACATAGCAGCTTGCATACAGCCTTCACCCAGTTTCCTCCAGTGGTATCGTCTTGCGTAACCATAGCATAGTAACATCGCAGCAAGAAAGCTGCTGTCGCTGTCATCCACGGCTGGTTCGGATCGCACCAGTTCACACGTGCTCAGATGCGTGTGCGCGGAGGCGTAGGCAACCTCATCACGCGCAGATTTGTGTGACCGCCACCACAACCAAGATGCAGAGCTGTGCCCTCAGCACCAAGCTCTCCCTCTCTTCAGCCACACCACACCCCCACCCCTCGCCCCTGGCAACCGCTGGCCTGCTTTTCCTCTCTGGGACTCTTCCAGGTCCTCGTGCGGTTTGATTGGTAGCTTGCTCCTTTCTGTGGCTGCCGTACTCCATGGTGTGCATGGACCACGGTTTACTTAACTATTTCATCTGTTGAAGGACATTTGGGTTTCCAGTTTGGGACTGTTATGAATTCACATATGTATTGCACATGTTTTATGTTCCCACCAACAATGCATGAGTGATTCAGTTTCTCCACATCCTTGCCAGCATGTGGCGTTGCCACTGTTGTTTTAGTTTAGCCGTCCCAATAGGTGTCTCTTATTGTGGTGTTAATTTGCATTTTGTTAATGACTAATGACATGAAACATATTTTTATTTCTATCTTATTTGCCATCCGTATGTGCTCTTCAGTGCATTGCCTGCTCATGTGTTTTGTCCATTTTCTAAATTGGATTTTTTGGTGTTTACTGTTGAGTCTTGCGAACACTTGTATAGTCTCCATGCGAGGCTGTCGTTGGGTATGTGGTCTGTGGATATTTTCTCCTGGTCTGTAGCTTTCTTTTTCTCTTCTTCAAGTATATAATACAGGTGACTGTTGAACGATGTGGGGGTTAGGAGCACTGAACTCCCCCCCATGCAGTTGAAAATCTACACGTAATTTTTGATTCCCCCCAAACTTAACTACTAACAGCCTACTGCGACCAGAAGTCTCACTGACGACATACACAGCCAATTAACACACAGTCTCTGTGTTATATGCATTGTGTACTGTGTTCTTGCAGTAAAGTCAGCTAGAGAAAAGAAAATGTTATTAAGGAAATCATAAGGGAAATACGTTTAAAGTACTTACTGAAAAAAGCCCATCTATAATTTCAAACCCATGTTTGTTCAAGGGTCAACTATATAATATTAGCTATAGTCACTACAGTGTACTCTAGCTCCCTAGAACTTACTCACCTTATAACTGGAAGTGTGTACCCTCTGGCCGACATCTCTCCTGTTACCCTGACTCCCTAGTCCCTGGTAACTGCCACTCTAGTCTTTGTTTCTATGAGTTTGACACTTTTAAGTCCCGAGTATAAGTAATATCATCCAGTGATCGTCTTGCTCCGACTTATTTCACTTAGCATAATACCTTCTAGATCCATCCATGTTGTTGCAAATGGCAGAATATCTGTCTTTCTCATGAATGAGTAATATTCTGTTGTATATACAGATGTATGTGCATTTGTATATGTGTGTATATATGATTTTCTCTATCCATTCATCTGTTGATGGACAGTTAGGTTGTCTCCGTACCTTGGCTGTTGTGAATAATGAACCCGGGAGTGCAGGTATCTCTTAGAGGTAGTGACTGCACTTCCTAAAGGTGTGTAACCTAGAGGTGGGCTTGCCGGATCATGAGGTGCATTCCACTTATTTTGGGGGGGAACCTCCCTGTTTTTTGTAGTGGTTGCACCAACTTACATTCTCACCAGGAAGGCGCAAGTGCTCCTTGTTGTCCACATCTCCGCCCATGCATGTCATCTCTTGTCTTTTTGATGATGGCCATGCTAAGAGGTGCAAGGTGGTAGCTCATTGTGGTTTTGATTTGCATCCTGATGATTAGTGATATTGAGCCTTTTTCATGTACTCTTTGGCCATTTGTATGTTTCCGTTGGGAAAATGTCTACGCAGTTCCTTTGTCCATTTTAAAATTTTATATATACATATATATGTATATATATACTGTTGAGTTTTATGAGTTCTTTATATATTTTTGGATATTATCCCTTTCTCAGATGTGTGTCTTGCAAATATTTTTTTCCCAATCTGTAGGTTACCATTTCATTTTCTTGATGGTTTCTTGATGGTTCCCTTTGCAGAAGCTTTTTACTTTGACGTATTCCCGGTTACTTGTTTTTGTTTTTGTTTTGCCTTTGCTTTTGGTGTAAAACCCAAAAAATCATTGCCAAAACTGACGTCAAGGAGCTTAGCTCCATGTTTTCTTCTAGGAGTTCTCAGGTCTTAGGCCCAAACCTTCAATCCACTTTTGAGTTGCTGCTGGTGTGTTGTGTGAGAGAGGCGTCCAGCTTCATCCTTTTGCATGTGGACGCCCTTTTCTCCCAACACCGCTTGTTGAAGAGGCTGCCCTTTCCCCAGTGTATATTCCTGGCTCCTTTGTTGTAAAACAATACACTATATATGCATGACTTTATTTCGGGGCTCTCTAGTCTACCCCACTTATCTATGTATAAATCTATCTTTTGTGCCCATACTGCATTCTTTTGATCGCTATAGTTTTGTAATGCAGTTTGAAATCAGGAAATGTGAGGCCTCCGCTTTGTTTATCTTTCTTAAGAACAGATTAGCTATTTGGGATATTTTATGGCTCCAACAAATACTTTAGAATTTTGATAGGACTTGCATTAAACCTATAGATCGCTTTGGGTATTATTGACATTTTAACAATATGAATCCTTCTAATCCCTGAGCACAGAATATCTTTCTATTTATTTGTGTCTTCTTCAAATTCTTTCATCAACATCTTATAAGTTTTCAGTACGCAGATGTATTACTTCCCTGGTCACATTTATTTTTAGGTGTTTTATTCTTTTTGTTACAATTGTAAATGGGATTGTTTTCTTGATTTTTCTTTCTGATAGTTTATTGTTAATGTATAGATACACCACTGATTTTTGTATATTGATTTTGTGTCCTGCAACTTTATGAAAGTAATTTCTGTAGCTTTTCTTTTCATCCTTTTCACAGGCCTATTACACAGAGCAAAAGCTTTTCATTTTGATGAGTTCTGATTTGTTGGGGCACATAGGAAAGACAACCGATGGATGTTTCCCTCTCACGTCCTCTCACGTCGATGTTTCTCTCCTTTCTTTCTCCCTCCTTTCCCCTCTCTCAAAAAAAAAAAAAAAAAATTTAAAGAAATGTTTAGAAACTCTTTGCCTTGCCTGAGGTCTCAAAGATTTTCTACTATTTTTTACCTAAATGTTTGATAGTTTTACATTTAAATCTGTGATCTTATTTTAAATTATATTTTATTGTTGATGCTATTATGGTTGTTCCAAGTTTTCCCCCTTTGCCCCCTCCACCAGCACCCCCCACTCCCTCAGGCACTGCCCACGCCATTGTTCGTGTCCGTGGGTCATGTGTGTAAGTTCTTTGGCTACTGCATAACCTACACTGTGCTTTACTTCCCCACGGCTGTTCTGTAATACCTGTTTGTACTTCTCAACCCCCTCACCTCTTCCCCCATCCCCCTACATGCTCCTCCTGTCTGACGACCCAAAATGCTCTCTGTATCCATGATTCTGTGTCTGTTCTTGTTGTTTGCTTAGTTTGTTTTTTAGACTCAATTGTTGATAGATAGATGTGTATTGCCATTTTATTGTTCATAGTTTTGATCTTCTTTTTCTTAAATAAGTCCCTTTAATATTTCATGTA